CATTAACACTGCGTAAAACACAGTTAGATATTCTGTATGAACTTTCAAATTGGGAGCGCAATTTCGAATAACTAACATGAAAACATTTATTTATATTTAAGCAAAGATGCGATCTAATACACCATGAGTGAAGATTCTCAACATCCGATTGAAGTTTCAGCATATCCAGCCTGTTATTTACCACTGAGTAGATCTTCAGGTCATCGGCATATAGCAAAGAACTAGCATGAGAAAAACACGAAGTAATGTCATTGATAAACAAAGTAAAGAGTAGAGGACCAAGAATGCTCCCCTGAGGAACTCCTGAAGTGGCAGTAAAAGCATCAGACGACACATCATCAATGGTGACTATGCACTGCCTTTTGCATAAATAGGATTTAAGCCATTGCAAGAAAATTGAGTGAAACCCAAGACAAGCAAGTTTATGAATTAGTATTTTGTGGGAGACTGTATCAAAAGCTTTCGAGAAATCAGTATATATGCAGTCCACTTGACTTCCGGCAGTAAAAGCGGAAACACAAAATTCACTGAAAACGGCTAAGTTGGAAACAGTGGAACGCCCAACCACAAAACCATGTTGATTGGGACTGATTATACTTTTTGCAGAGAAATAAATCTTATCTTTAATAATGCCCTCAAAAAGCTTCGAGATGTTCGTTAGTTTAGATATAGGTCTATAATTGCAGACATCACTCTTATTGCCACTCTTGAAGATGGGAGCTATTGAAGCAACCTTCCAGGCATCAATAAACTCGCCGCAATATAAAGACTTGTTAAAAATTATTTCCAGAGGAGCAACTACTGCTGGGCAGCTTTTTAGGAAAACTGCTGAGAGCCCATCAATGTCCATCTTTGATGATGGTTTGAGCTTAGAAATACCATTAACAATATCGCTTGCTGAAAGTGAGATTGTGCCAAGATTAATTAAGGATTTAACATCCGAAGAAAAGTCCTCACAGGACACATCATTGTCACAAACAAAATTCGAATAGAAGAAATCAGCGAACAAATTAGCAGCATCCTTAGTGGAATTGACGTGTTTATCTTTATAGAAAATCGTAGAGGGTATCGACGAGCATGATTTCTTCGATTTAATGAAGGTCCAAAATGCCTTGGGATTGGACTTTATATTAGATTCAAAGTTAAGAATATATTTTTTATACAGGAACTTATCCAAGCAATTGAATTCCTTCACATAATGCAGATAGGTATCATAAAAAGATTGATGCTGTGTCTTCTTATATTTCTTATAAAACTTATTTCTTAAATTTTTCAGATTCTTCAGCCCCTTGGTGTACCAAGGCAATTTATAAGGTCTTGGTTTAACAACTGGAATATTATTCAAGCAAATATCATATACTGCTGATTTGAAAATATTATAACAATAAGCAGGGTCAGAGTTAGAAAGCAATTCGTTCCAATTGATATCCGATAAAAGTTGATTTAAGGTATAAAAATTACAACGCGCATAGTTAAAAGCGATTACCCGCCCTAAGACAGATTCACCAAATTCATAAAATTCAACCTTAAGAACAAGAGCCACATGGTGCATATCCGTGGGAGAAATTGGTGCATGACACTTAGACAGAAAAAAATTGACATTTTCGTTGATAAATATAAGATCTAAAATTTTATCGAGCTTATTTTCAAAACGATTTATCTGCAATAGGTTTAGACTTAATATATTATCAATAAAAAAGGTTTCAAATGATGATGACATATTAGTTGGCATTAGTCCAGCAGAGCAATAACTTTGACTCCAATTAATATTTGAAATATTAAAATCACCTAAGATACAAATATGATTGTCACCTAGTTTATTGAGCACAAAAGAAGCTATGTTATCAGCATGAGCTCTATAAAGGCAATCCAAACTGTTGGGTGGAATATATGATGCAATTATAAACAAACACTCAGTGGAGGCCGACGAGCCGCGTATGCAGACACAGATCTGGTCAAGTACAGAATCACTATTTTCTAGAGTAATTAATGAAGCACAGTACTTGCGTTGAACAGCAATTAATACACCACCTCCGCGCGTGCGACCAGTTTTCTCAGCATCTCTGTCCTTGCGAAAGACGACAAACAAATTTGGGTCGAAAAATTCAGCATCATAAAAGTTCGGATTTAACCAGGTCTCAATAATAACAAATATGCCATAGTCTAATTGCGAGCTGAACGCTTTAACAGCGTGCGATTTAGTTCTAAGGCCAGAGGCATTTTGAAAATAAATAGTTAGCCCCCCAGTGACCAACTGTTGCTTTTTATCAGTAGCAGCTACGGTGCATCTTGTGTACTTTCCTCCCTGGCTAAAAAATGAAACGGACGTACTTTTACACCCACAGGCCAAAGGTCAGATGACGAAACTCTATCATAAAACGCATAGGCAACACCAACTTTAAAATTGACTTTTGTATATGAATCGGGAGGCGCATCTTTTTTTATTAGTCTATGACAAACTAAGTATTGTTTATCAATGTTAGCATGCTTGACGATGTAATCCAAAATTTTATCCTCAGAAACCGAACGATGAAATGAAGAAATGTGAAGCCATTTCATTCGTACAACAACGTCGAGATCTTTGTTTACGTTAGAGCCAATGATACTCTGAAGCTTCTGTCGATTGTTCTCATCAGTTCGTTTAGCAGTAGCAGCAATACCAACAACATCCTGAACAGCATTAGCATTATAACCAGCGTTATCGCGAGCAAGAATGGAGGCATAAGTGCTGCTAGCAGTTCCAGCATTAATGTTCTGTACACTAACTGTGATTCCATTTGCAGAAGATAAATCGCCAACTTTAGTAGCGAAATTCGTGGGTGTTTTATCATTATCAGCAGCAACAAGGCCAGGGGCCAAAGATGAAGAAGATGAAGCAGCATTCCTATCAGCAGCAGGTAGACCGGGTGCATTTGCATTAGAGCCAGTGATACTCTGACGCATCTGCCGATTGCTCTTATCAGTACGTTTTGCAGTAGCAGCAGGTAGAGAGCGTAACTTGAGAGCTGAAGTAGAGTTGGCTGGTGAAGCCGCGTTAGTATTAGTGCACGGAGCTAATTGTTTACTGGGTGTATTGCTGTTAATAGAAGAGCGAAGGTCGATGCGAACACCTTTCACTTCAGCTGAGAGCGTAGTAATTGCAGATGCGAACTCTTCAAAGCGAATAGTACTCTTTAAAGAGTGAAGTTCAGACTGCAGGCATTCAGTTTTGCAAATTAAACGCTTATTGTCTTCGCGGAGTGCATTAACCAACGCAACAACGTGTGCGTTCTCCGCTCTAAGAGCAGCAATTTCTTTTACGACCGTTTGCCATAATATTGGTTGATTTTCGTCATTAGAGTTTTCGATACACTCACTCAGCAATTTGCACAAGATCAGTGGGGGGAGGCGGTGAGCGAATCGACTTTTGTCGAACATCTGCACATGTATTGCAGAAAAAAGGTCTGTCAGAGTTCACTAGGAACTCAGCATCCGACGGCAAAATATTAACGCATTTTAAGTGAAAAAGTTCATTGCACCCTGCGCACTGAATTTTTTATTCATAAAATAATGATTAAATGCTGATTTAAATTGTAAAATAATGATGACTATCTTCCCTGCTTTTAAAATTTAAAATAGAATAGTTTAGTGAAAGTACCACATTTCACTGCTTTTGGACTGGTGCGGAACTAGTACTATCGGACTGGTTCGTTTTTGGCATAAAAGAACTAGTACTGAACTAGAAATCTGGTTCACTGGTTCGTGTTTTCCCTACAGGGTACATACATAAATATAAAACAAAGAGTTCTATTAAAGACGGTGCGGAATATCGTTTTTAAAATTACTGAAAAAATTTCATTTGAGGAATATCAGATAATAGGGAAAATTGCGGATGCATTTAAATAAATACAAGTGCACAAAGCTATTAAGGCTATGCCAGATTAAACTTTTGCTTTGCGGTTCCTGACAGATTCGCTTTGACAGCTAAGATGAATAGTATGAAAATGCACGTATTTAGAATGTCACATAGATCGTTTGAGCTGCAGTGCGAAGCTCAAAGATGGGCAACCCAAATCTGTTTGCGCGCGTTGGCAATCAGCTGGTTTACTTTTTATTTCATTTCGTTAAAATTCAAGCCTTCATGCAGAAATACAACTTTTAATTACACTGTTGATATCTTTAAAACGAAATATATAAAATCCACAGCAATTTTCACGAGTAAACAAACAGTGTAAAATTGTTTCTTTGACGTTCGTTGTGGCATACCTTTTGAGTCTTGAGATTTTCTGGCAAAGTTATAAATGCCACGTAAAGCCACAAAGTTCTAAGTATCTGACGTGGTCTTTAAAGTTCCGTCTTTTGCGTGAAAACCCTCAACCCATTATGCCTCGAAGAAGTGGGCAGTTGAAGAAAAATCAGTTAATTTGCTGTTTCTACACGGTCAAAAATTTGGGTTTAATTTTTAGACCGCGCTGGGACTACTGCCTTTTTTAATCTTTTATAGTCTACTTTTTAAACCAGTCAATAGTTTTAAGGAATTTTTAATATATTCTGGTATAAATTTTAGTCCAAAAGGTTTGTGGTTTAAAAATCAAACCAAAATGTTTTAATTCTAGTTTCTAGGTTTCATATATAGAAAATTCGGTTTAAAATCTAAACCAAAATAGAAAACTCAACATATGAAAACACATTTACATGCGTGGCTGTAGCTTAGTGTGCAAAGATGCGTGATACAATTGGTTGCTACCCAGGCTGACCGGGTTCAAGCTCAATCCTCATCAGACGGAGCATGAAATTTAAGATTTTTTTTTATTCTTAATTATGAAAATGTTTGGGTTTCAAATTTAAACCAAACTGTTTAACTTCTAAACCCAACATATGTGCTCTCTTTTTTTTAAACTTGGAAGGTTGTATTTGAAACTTAATTTAGTTTGGTCATATATGCAGTCCAAAAAGTTTAAAAGTAAAACCGAAATTTTTAACCGTGTAGTTACAGTTTTTTAGACTAATTTCTCACTCACCTTGTAAATACTGAGTAGGATGTAATCCGAATGCCTGAAGCTGTTGGAATATATGCAACTGTGCAGGTGACACATTCATGGCCTCTGCGGTGGTCAGGTATGGCGACGTTTGCTGACGGCTGTCAGTAGTTAGTAGCGATGGTGGCACTGAGATCGCTGCGGAAGAAGGCACTAATGCAGAGGCAGGGTTGGCGACAGCCACAGTCGCCATTGATAATGGCATAGAACAATTGGTTCGCGCATTCGTCACAGATATGGGATTGGGCACTAAAGCGGCAGCAGTAGTCGGGAGAAAACCATTGGGATGCGCGGAAGCTAGACCGGCGATGGCTCCTGTAGTTGGCGACGTCAGTGCGGTTATCCCAACAATACTCGCTTGCATCTGTTGTATTTTCTTTTGGTCTTTCTCTTTTTGTGTGTCGGCGAATTTAACAACCAATGGTGCCGAGCAGCCTTCCATGGTTCGGCTTTGGTGCAGAGTCTGAAATGGCGTTAAACAATGATCATGAAAATATAGTCAAGTGCTTTAACATATGTATGTAAGTACATAAGGGTGGTCCTTAAATGTAGGAAGCAAATTTTTATATCAGCTTTCCTAAGCCTCAACCCCTACATCGATGCTACTATAGTCGACGATATTATATGTTAATTTTTGTCACGATTGGAGACGGTTAAGGCGTGTCGCACAGAGAGCAAAGTTCAGATTCCTCTATAGAGACTCAAAAAATTAAAATAATTCTTTTTCACCTAATACCCAAAGGCGATACTACTTTAGTCGAAGATATCACATATAAATTTTGGCCCCGATTGGAGTCGGTTAAGGCGTGTCGGGTCAAACTTCAGATTACCCTATGAAAACGTCTTAACCGACTGCAATCGGAACCAAAATTTATATGTGATACTTTTAACTTTATTAGTATCGATTTTGGGTATTAAATGAACAAAATATTTTTAAGTTTTTGAGTCTCCATAGAGGCTTCTGGCTTTTGACCCCTTTGCGACACGCCTTAACCAACTCCAATCGGGACCAAAATTTATATGTGATATCTTCGACTATCGTAGTATCGATTTTGGGTATTAGATGAAAAAAAAATAAATTTTAGTTTTTTGAGTCTTAATAGAGGAATCTGAAATTTGCCCCCTGTGCGACACGCCTTAACCGACTCCAATCGAAACTAAAATTTATATGTGATATATGTGATCGTGGTATTACCGATTGATGGGATGAGACCGAAACAAATTCTTCATTTTATTTTAAGGACCACTCTAATGTACATATACAAATATGTTTATGTGAAGCCGTAAAGCGTTAGCGTAAAGATAAATAAAAAAGTGTTCTCATTTTATTTCCTGATTGCAATAAAAAATTACTTAATTTTAGCGATGTTGTATAAACTGAATGACTGCGTTTCTTTTGAGAGGTTTTACTCTACGTATGTACGTAGTATCTTACCCGGCGCTATACCCTACAAATTTTAAGATACAATTCCAGGTAAATAAACGGAAAACCATATTAAAATTGGAAAAAATATTGCAATGCTTATGTATATATGAAAATGCTATTGTTCCTAATTTATCTGGTATGTAAAATAATTAATTGGCTGCCAAACCGTGAACATGAAACTCATGATAGACATGACTTGTTCAAAAAATTGCATGTGTATTTGTTTTAATTATATAGATTTCTTTATTGCTACCCTGCAAAAAATGGGACTAATCCGGGATGACTCCGGGAGCAATCGCAAAAGAGCATGCGACTAATACCACTTTTGATCTCTTTATATGGAATGAACTGATCGCTTTTGTTCGAGCATGTCCTATGAAGAGACTAATTGTTCACCTTTATACCCGAAAGGGTATAAAAAGCGACTAGTCACTTTTAAAAAATAAAAATAAAAATTTGCGCCAGCTGAGATTCGAACCGGGTTGCTCAGTTTTGTTAGGCGAATACTCTCTCTGTGTGCCAACGTCGCACATGAAATTTCATTGACTAAGTGCCTACATACCATTAAATCGTTAATAGTACCCGTTAGACATGAGTTGGGGACTAATTGATCTCCAATTATACCCATAAGGGATGAGTCGAGACTAATTAACCTCCATTAGCACCCGTATGAGACTAGTTACGACTAATTAATGCCCAATTGTACCCGATTGAGAGTAATCTCGGAATACTCTCTTTAGAGAATAGTCGGACAATTTTTTGCAGGGTAGTAAAATATGATCGCAATGTTTTCCATTTGAAATCAAAGAAAGACAGTCTATGACAATTTTTGTGATTGTAGAAGTACATATGTACTAGAGACCTGCATCGGAAGACATTTCGCTTTACAGCGAGTACGCTTCCTTCTCTTCCTCTCACTGAGAGCGCGGATACTGAAGAGAAGTATCGTTGCTAAGCGTCGAGTAACTAAATAAAGTACTCGACAAAAATATGTTCCGAAAAAGAGAGGAACACAAAAGAGGAGTACTACGTTGTGGAACTTCCGCAAGTAAAAGTTTCCTTCATGTGAAGTTTTCAAGTATTTTAGGAAGTTTTCATTGAGAGGATAGTTGAGATATAAGAAATATTATATGTCTCATGCAACTAAAATATGTTTATGTATATTTCTATAAGTTTTTTATATACATTTATACATATTTACATAGGTGTAAATGCATACATTACATATGTGTATGTATGTATGTCTGTATACATATCTATATACATACATACAAACATATGTATCATGTCATCGCTTCATATCTCCCCTCATACTACATCAAATTTAAATATTGAAACATAATTGTGAAAGCCACCTTTACCGCTTTCGGCAAAAATACCCATCTGTATGAAAATAAAGTGAATAAAGTGAAATATTTAAGTGCGTAAAATTTTGCAAAGGTTTTATCGAAGCAAAGCCATTTCAGTGCACTTTTATCAAACGGTAATAATTTTAAATAGGGTTGCCACCTGCCAAAAAAGTTAAATAAACTATATTATGCATATGTATGCAATTTGAATAAATTATTCCTTTATGAATATCAAATAATCAAATTTTTGAAAAGGGTTGCCAACTATGTATCTTAAGAGTTAATTTAAATATATATGTATGTAGTTTCAGTGGATCATTTCATGATGAGTATAATATGAGGATTATTTCTGTAAACTTTGATCCGGTCAAATTTATCAATATGGTTTCCAACTATCTAAAGATTAAATTAAATGCATATACAGTAGTCGTTACGGTTGCCAGACGTACTGATTTTATCAGAACAGTACTGATTTTTCAACTCTTGTACTGATTTTATTCATTTCTTCAATCAGTACGCTAATGTCCTGATTTTTCAAAATTTGTACTGATTTGTACTGAATTTTCAATTCAAACAAAATACTTTAGGATTTTCTTAAAGTTTTTACATAACGTTGGAACTTCCTTAAACTATACTGTAGAAAATAAGAAGAAAATAATTTAACTATAGTTGACATGTTTCAGATAATATTTGATATCACAGTCATCGACTAACACCCGCGACGATCAGTTGTGTTATTCGTTTCTCTTTTCGGTACCATTTTCTGAGTTTTCATTTCTGCTGAATTTCTTTCAGTATCTCTTTCCACTTAATTTATTTTCAAGTTGACTGTGTTAAATCTCGTGTGAAAAACGTGTACATAACGTGAAAGTGAGATTGTGATTAAAAAATGCCCCCTGGGGCGAGAAACCTCGGGGACAATAGGTTTGCTCCGCTTTCCGATAGTCCCCAACCCAAACGAAAAAAACCTCAAAAGATTTTCGATGTGTTCCCTTCTCTTCCCCCACAAAGCAAGACGGCCCAAAGTTTATAGTGTTAAAATCTGAAAATTCTTCCAACACTCCGCTTTCCAAAACTTCCTGCTTCCGTGTGCATAACGCTATCCTTGCCATTAGCAAATATATTAACAAAATAAGTGAACTGAGAGATGGAAGCCTACTCCTTCTTGTTAAAAATAAGCACATCGCTGAAAAGTTTATTCGCATCAAAAACCTTCCTGGTATAGGAGAAGTAAGCGCAAACTGCAATCAGAACCTAAACGCTGTTAAAGGCACCATATATGCTCCTTTCCCTATCGATGTTCCAGAGGAAGAAATAATTGAAGGCCTTAATTCATACAATGTCTCGTCAGTTTACAAGTTCAAACGCAATGTTGAAAGTGTTGAAAAACACACTGGCGTTATTTTGCTTACGTTTACAGCTATTGCCTACCAACAAATATTTCTATCGCTTGGAGAATGACCTCTGTCCGTCCTTATATTTCCAACCCGATGCGCTGCAAAACATGCCAGAAGCTAGACCACACAGCTAAATACTGCAAAAGTGCTCCGATATGCGTTCTTGCAGCCTTCCACTGCACGGTTCAGAAAGCTGCAAAAGAGTAATGTGCGCAAATTGCCTTGCCGACCACCCTTCCTCTTCTTATGTCTGTCCATCATTCCAACAAGGGAAAGAGATACTTAAAATCAAAACCTTAAGCAAATGCAGCATGCGTGAAGCAATAAAAAAATTCAAAGAAAACCAATCTCCACCTCCACTAACACAAACTTTTTCAAATGCACTCAAATCTTCTCTTTAAGATCCACAGCCTAACTCTGATCATACTCTCTCAAATAAAACACCAGTCATCTCCAAAATCTAAACACAACTGCCAACAACAGCACCAACGTCTCAACTTACCAAACTTCAATTTCTTCTTCGACTACTTCATTCATATCTTCTCCATCCTCTATCGTTTCAACCTTGATCCAAGAACTCAACAACAATTCTTTCATAGACTCCCGCGAAAACCTAGTTACTCAAAGGGAAACCGATCACGCAATTATTGAGCCTAATCAAAAACAAATAAGAAAACAAGTAATTTTTAGCAAAAAAAAACCGACTTCAACTCCCATATAAAAAAAAAATATATATATATATATATCTCATGATCCACTGATCGGATCTCAACCAGATTAGTATGGGACCACCTCTGAGACACTACCTTTCCGATGAAATTTTCATTTCGACATGGGTTGACGTGGTCCAAAGTTATGCGGTAACATACATAAAAAAAAAAAAAAAAAATAAAAATATTCCGACGAACCGATAACCTCCTCTTTTTTGGAAGTCGGTTAATAAGTTGCTAGAAGCTATATTTCAACTGTTGATACTCAGCTTAGCTGACTACTCATTCCAGTTGACGGTATAGTCTTTGCATATTCTCTTATCACTCTTTTTATCTTCTCTTTAATATCTCTTTATAATGTTCACAATATTGCAGTGGAACATGAATGGCTTTATAAATAACTTCGACTACCTTCAACTTTTAATTAACTCGTATTCACCATCCGTAATTCTCTTAAACGAAGCTCATTTAGCATATAATGCAAGCGCTTATACCCCAAAACAATACATCGGTTTATTTCAGAATCTCCCTCACAACAACACAAACAAACAGGGCGTTGCCATACTCATTAAGAGAAATAC